AGAGTGGTGGAGCATTGGAACAGACAGAGTCACCATCCCTGGCAGTGTTCAAGAAACATGCATGTGAGGCACTTAGGGACGTGGTTTAGCAGGCATGGTGGTGATGGGCTGGACTTGATGATCTTAAAGGTCTTTTTCCGAACGTGATAATTCTATGATTCTATGATACATTTGTCAGTGGATTCAGGCTACCTCATGCTATCTGCATAAGGAGTTATTTTTTCATATCCAACTGAAATAATTAAAGGCTGTAGTAGCTAGGCATACAGTGACAAGATTAAAAAATGCATGATATAGTAAGTGAAGGTTAAACAAGGATTTACAAACACAACACTTAACTTAAAACATAAAATTATTCTTTCTGATGATCCAGCAGGCCCTACAGTGCATCGACATTCGCAGTGGTCATTTTAGTTTCAATAATAACATCATCAAAAAATCTGAGTCTGTTGCGTGTTTATCTTAGGCTATTACCAAGGTACAAAGCAATGTAGTACATTTGAGATGGTTTAATCCATCTTACATCTTCTTGTTTTTCTTATCAAGGGAAAAGAACATGCATTTCACTCCATCATAATCTAGCTCTCTGCTGGCATCCTGACCATGCTCTGGTGAAGGGTTTCCATGGCTTTGCCTGTCTGCCTGTTGCTTTTATGTCCTAGAAAAGTTACAATTTGTGCTTGTGGGTGAGGACACGTAGTGGTTTTTATGGATCTGTACTTAGAGACAAATGAAGAACATGGTGAGGAGAGAGTATTTCACATTTCCTGCCAAATAAGAAAAGAGTACGGCTGAGAGACAGATCCACTTTCTGACAACCCATGTCCCAAATGTCTCAGTTAAAACTCTAGGGAGTTTAAACCTTAACTGCTGGGAGTTGCAATAATGGGCAGATTCAGTAGAAACTTCTATTTTGAGTTTAAAGTGGAAAAAACTCCCCCAATTAAATGTTATAGATCAAGTCCTCAGAGGCTGAAAAAGGCCATGCATTCCTTCTCTCCTTCTTCTCCCCACTACCTGCCTGCTGTCCACAACAACAAAGTTAAGCATGTGTTTCTGCAGGGTAAGGTAATGTGCTAGAGGTGCAACTCCGTTTGATGCAACCTCCACAGGAGGACCCCAGCGTTTTGCCTGGACTTTCTGCGTATTTCTTGACATGAAAAAGAGCTGGCGTTTATTGCTTGCTTCATCTCATCCCTATGTTATGCTTGGATAAGGTCTCGTCTGTGAGATACAAAGGGATTGTGTGGAGATGGCTGTTAGTGCAGTGGAGCATGTAGCTGTTCCAGCTTCATTGTAACCTGAGAAAGTAAGTAAGTAAAAATATTTATAGTATGGAAAATGGCATGTAACTTAGGGGGAAAACATGAGCCACTGCTCATTTTCCCCTTTTCATGCACCAAAGTAACCTCTGCTTATCATTTCTCATTACCCTTTGACCTCTTGTCACCCTGATATTAAGCCTGTTGTATGAATGAAATATGTTCAGTAAACTCAGGTCAGTTCTTAATGGACAGTAATTCAAATGATGAGACATGTAATTGGTTATAACTTACCCTAATTGACATGTTTTCCCCAGAATGACTGCAGTGCTCAGATGGAGAGTGTGGATGTCATTAACCCGGGCAAGTGTGAGGGGTGTCCCACTTTTATGTCCTGTTTTGTTTCCCTGTTCAGGTGCGTGATAGCTTTCATCCAGACAAAATATAGTTCAGATTATGTGTGTATAAACACCTTCAGCATTAAAAGCAGTCAGAAGATTCCTGCTTACCTTTAATTATATTGAATTTGAATACTAATGTAGGCAATGCCAACTAATGAGCTGTCAGTAAGAGTTAGGTGACACCACAGAACATGTGTGCTGTGTTTTTCAGGCACTGGACACGGACTCCTTCCTTTCCAGGAGGCTGGCTTTGTGTTAGCATTTATTTATTACTATCTAGGCTCAGCGTAAGAAGTGGTATTATTTATTCTCTGAATTACCAGAAATATGAAGCCCTGATATGTGCAAGGGCAGGACATAGAAATTTTTCTTTCAAAAAAGCCCTCCTTGTAGCAGTAAGAGTACATTGACTTTCTCCTCCCAGCTCACTACTGAAAAACTATCTTCCGATGATGGATTGAACTAATATTCTGTGTTAACTGCCATCTGAAAACTATATTGCTTTTAATTTATTGGTATATACGAGAAGATAGTTCTCTAAGGCAAGTAGATGAAGATAGACATTTATTCCTTTAGAATAGAAAGCTTTCATGAGCTTTTAATATCTTTTTTTAAAAAAATATCTACAATAACTGCAAATAACTGGGAGGATTGAAGCTGTTTCAACACCCTCTTCCTATAATCCCTGCCAAACTGCTGAAGACTGCAATCTGTTTTGGAACATAGAAGAAGAAAGGCATTTTCTTAATGGAAATAAGATACTGGTTTCACATTCAATAGCAGTTAACAAGCAAAAAATATGTGCAGGCTCCTCCTAAGCTGTGCAGGTCACAATTTCAATGTTATGTGTTTGTGCCTGGTCTTGATTCTTATTGCGGTTGATCTGGTGCAACAAAAAGTTGAACATCACTTACTGTTTTCTGCCGCCCTCTCTGAAAGACTCTATCTGAATATTTAAAAGGTATCTTAATTCTCCTGCTTTATGTATGCTTGCTATTAATTGAGGGGAAAATTTTTGTAGGCATTTAGTACAGTTTTTAGAAACGTTATTTTAATCCCAGGGAGTTTTCTTCATTTCTTATGGTGGCAGCTGCGTTTTCTTCCGAGCTGCATGCACAGCTTTTTATCTGCTGTAATGTGCTGGGTTTCAGCCATTTCCTTGCTGCAAATGAATAATGAATAAGCTGTGGTTTGGAAGCTAATGGTTCAAGATGAAATCAGAAGCTCGTTGCAACATGGATGATACTCATTTGTCATCTCCATGGAAACATCTATTTATCAAGACACTGCAGTTAAGACTGTAACAAGAAAGTAAGAAATTGTTGGAAGGAAGGGCTTTTGCCGAGAAGCAGTTTTAACAAACGTAAAGGATAGAATTAGATAGGAATGCAGTATTATTTTTAAATGGTATTTTTTTTCAAGAATACGTAAACTCGAGGGATATGGGTTTAAATTTATTTTTACAGATCAGAAAAATGCATTTGAACGAGGAACAAAAGGCACCGCTATCGTGGCAGATCTTATTGTCACCTGTTGTGGTCCACGCGCCCAAGACCACATGGCAGTTTCAGACCTGCAGCCTGGCATGTCCCCTTTGCACCCGGAGCAGGGCCGCGTGCGCCCTGCATGGGACGCGCCAGCCGTGCTCCTCACTGGTGTCACTGCTGGCGCCGCAGGTAGGAGGAATTTTGTGCAAGTCAGGACAATTGATGATAGAGTAAAATTATTTCAAAATGTCCCTTACAGAGATTGGGTTAAATCCTTTAGTTCCGTAAGTGGAAAATAGGGTTTTGCAGATATTCAAGAGTCCAGCAGAGTGTCTTTCCTCAGGACTGGTTTCCTATTTGTTTACTCATACAAGTTACTCTGTTCTTATTGAAATTATAGCTGTGCAAGCCCAAATCTTAAAATATTATTATTATGTCGTTTTATAACAATCTTACTTACGTTTATGGATGCAATGCAATGACCTCTCTGTATATATATATGTGTGCATATATATTGTGCTTTTAAGACTTGTTAACTGAATATTGGGAGATGAACTCTGAACTTCAGAGACACAAAACTAAAGAAACATTGAAGGCCTCTTAGCCAGCAGTTGGGTATGCTGCACTTCAGCTTTTTGAGACAGGGGAGGGACCTGCCCCAAACTTGTTCTACTCTTTTCCAAGAATGTTGCATGTCCTCACTGGGACAAGTGATGTAGTTCTGGAAGGGGAAATAGTTTCTTTTTCAGAGACATGGTTACAGACCGATGCTTGCACAGCTTGGTGAAGTAGAGTAAATGTTCTTCCCAGTGAAGAAAACCAGGCATAGTTTGGCCTCTGGGAGTAAGGTTAATTAGGACAGGTAGTTCTGCAATTTAATGTCCAGGTAGATGATGATAGATTTGTTCACAGGGCAGAGGGAGAACTGAGATGAATTGATGGTGGTGAGAATTGTCTCCTGTAAATTACGGAGACATTGTGATGTCTTTTATCATTTTTTCTATTCCACTTTTCTTCAAGAAACTAACTTACACTGAGGTTGTGTTATTTATATATATATATATGCATATATATATACGTTTTTTTAAAGAATGAGCTATTTAGGAACAGGCTGTCAGTCACCTTCAAGAGCTTTTGCTTTTAAACTCCATGAGGGCATCTAAGTACCCTTTACAATTAGTTTCAAAAAGAAATTAAAGAAGAAAAATCTGCAGGTTGGGCTTGATTTTGCAGAATGCACGTGCAATTCCACAAATAAAGCATGTGCCTTCATCCTAGCATGTCGTCAGGCTTAATGACTCGCAGATACCAGTGCTGATGCCAGTGATACCACTTACTGATTACACACAGTATGCACATGCCTGGATTGAAAGCCGTGATAACTACGTTCTCCTGTGGTGCCTCTTGTCCCGTGTTACTACAGAGATGCAAGATCCT